CAAACATTGCGAACCCATGTCCAACGGAGTTTCCGGTGGCCAGGTCCACTTGCAGGAATGGTGGCAGGTTCCAACATAGCCAAAATGGCTGAATCATGAAAGCGGTGCCAGCTAAACCGTTCTTGTCGGGAAAGATGCACTGCCCATTGCTCGAAGTCTGCACGTCCTGGTAGATGTTGAGGTCGTCCACGTTGGTTGTCCGACCATTCTGCCAATAAACCATCCAACATAGCTGACACCAGAGCGGGAGGATAGGCCTGAGCCAAACGAGGAAGTCCTCCTTCAAGGTGTTGGTGAGGTTGTTCACATTTGCAAAGACGCTGCAGTCTGGTGGCTATGTGGTCGGAGGTCGTGGCAAACAAGGTTGACTTCCGAGCTAGGCGATCTTTGATCTTGAGGCCAAAACGGCACAGGTGCGATTTCACAAGTAGCAGCTCATCGCGCTGAAGATAGCGCTGCACAGACTTCAACTGCCAGCTGGTGGCAGTGTCAGGGTGTTCATGTAGCCCATGGTCTCGTCGGTCCAATTGGTCCATGAGCAATTCCATTGAGAAGTCCAGATGCAGCTGAGCCTCGGGGAGTTCTTGTTCAAGTAGTTCAGGATGAGGTCTCAGATTTTGCATCTGGCTGAACTTGGTGCACGGAGGTGACACCACCAGCAGTCGAGGTCGTCGACGTTGAAGCTGGTTTCGAATTTCTTGCCGAGCAGCTGGATCTCGAAGGTCTGTGCCAGTCACCAGGTCGATGGACATCTCGGCTTTCAGTCCTCGTTTCCTGGCTTCAGCCACCAATCTTGGTGGTGAGTAGATCTCGGCGACAACGTCGTTGTTGGAGTCCAGGCTGCCGAAGATCTCTGCAACATCATCCGCCTCCTCAGACCAAAAGGTCCAGTAGGTGCTCTGCTCTCCAAGCAATTCATCCAGGCTATTGTTCAGCTCCGTCTTGATGTTCTTGGGCATTGCGAGTTCCTTCTCATATTCAGCATCGATCATGTAATCGAGGAACTCAGGATCGAACTCATACAAGACGATGTAGTTCATAGGGCTTTGCACAAGTGGTACACATCTCCAGGCGTCGTAGTGCAGCAAACTGCATTCCACAAACCATCATCGCAGGTCAAAATGACCTTCTTGGTACAAATCGGCAGTGTCACGACCGGAGAGTGTCCACTCACACATTCACCACATCCGGCGGCTACATAGGTATTTTGCTGAACAATGCCCAGGGCGTCGACGATGTCGTAGAAGCTGTCAGGCAGGCGAACATCCATAGGTGGCTGAGTCATCCACCAACTGCCAATCAGGCACTCGGCACCAGAGCGTCCTGTCGGAAGTGTCCCATCCGGGCACAGGCATGAATCAGCTCGTTGAAGAACATGGCCACGTTGCAGCTGATGTTCATGCAATGCATCTCCGTCTCCTCTTGCTCCGGGGACACCTGTGAGTCATCATCATCCCGTGTGACTGGCATTGGGGACACAAGAAAACTCCCTTCGCTTCGATCAGCTCGTCCTTCAGGGTGCCGAAGTAGAAGTCGCACGAGGGTTGTCGCACTTCCAAACCAGGCTCCCGGAGTTCCGGTGGCGAACCAAGGTGACTTCTCCCACGCGACAGGTGTCGCAGCTCTGAGATAGGGCTTCGTCCATCATCTGGCGCCTGTCCACATCCTGGGTCATCATCTCCCAGGGTACCTCGGAGCTGTCGGGGCTGAGGATCTCCTCCTGCTTGACCTGAGTCCAGCTCGACGCTGAGGGTGCCACAGCTGGCTGTGCCTTGCTCTTGGTGGCGGTAGCTCGAGCTTTGGGAGTGCTTCTCATCGGTCTTGACGGCGCGGTAGCTCCCAGCTTCTTCATGAAGGTGATCTTGTTCTCCTTGGCTGCCTTGGCCTCCTCCTTGAGAAGGTCGTCCCATGGCATCTCCATGTATTAGACCAGGCGCTCGTTCCAGGCTTGAAGCTGATCGAGGGTCGTGAGTGGCATTTTCTGGTCCTGTTGACACTTGGTGCACTTCGTCCAAGTGAGGTACTTGTTTGCTCCATGCTTCGTCTCCTTGTGCTGGCAATGAGGACTTGGCTCCAGCACAGGGACCAGATATTTGCCACGGCCCTTGATGCATGCCAGTGGACGATGTCGGAACTCGTCTCGGGAGATGTTCAAAGTCCCGGTTGGTGTCTCCGTGGATGCCGCTGCCTCTGCAGTCATCTTCTGCTCGGCCTGCTGGAGGGCATACACCTTCTGCTCCAGTCGCTCCCGCTGCTGTTGCAAACGTCTGACCTGTCGGAACTGCGGGGATCGGCAGACCTCCAGCATGCATTGATGGGCCTGCAGGGAAATGAAGGTGTAGAGCCGCAGCAGCAAGCGCCGCCAACGGGCCAGAGAAAGGCATGGCTTGCCCATCCGGGAGGTGGTCGAGTGTGGCCCAGTCGGGAATGGCCTCCGGGGACCACACTTGACTGTTGGAAAAGGCGTAGTGAGCAGGCACATGAAATCCACGAGTCCACGATCTCCAAAATCACAAACATTCACTGAAACATGACCTGTTGGCTGCCTCGTCATTGACAAACAAACACCAATCTTCATGAACATGATCGCGCAACGCTTCATGTCGATGACGGCTTCGAGGTCGGTCAACAGGTAAGCCGGAAGGAGCATAGGGATGTCACCAGGAATCACTTGAACCCTCAAAATACCACTCTTCCCTCCAAGGCCAATGGGGATGTAGCAGATCTGTGTGGACTCCTCTTGACCGCAAACACCACGAACCGAACCACCGTGTTCATTGGTCCACTGTACTTGTACCCCATGGCGTTCCTGAAGCAAACGATCATGTCTTTGGAGGGTGTTGTAGCCGATCAAACCGTGTTGGGCTGCAGTATCAACAAGTGCAATTCCTTCGTGGGCCACTGAACCATGGAAAACAAAGCTCAACCCGGCAAAGCGCACCATGTATTCTTCACTGGCGTGAGGTGCCATGTCGTTCATGGTGAGAAACTGTCCACTCCAGCTTGTTGCCGGTGGCGAAAGAAAGAAGCCTGCTGTCGTTCCAGCAGCTGAAGCTCCTGGTTTTCCAGGTCCAGAGCGTTGCTGTGGGCATTCCCTGCTCCAATGGCCGACTTGTTTGCAGCGTTGGCATCGTGATTTTGCCTTGATCTCATTCAAGCTCAGTCGTGGGCCTTGCCGCTGTTGCCACGGCTTGTCATAACCGCGTCCATTCCGGGTGGCTTGAAGTAGCCGTCGATGTTCGAGGTATCCACCACGGCCAAAACCAGGGGTGTTGGCATTGTAGGTCTTGGAGGAATGCTTGAACTTGCCACCCTTGCCTTTCTTGCCTTTGCCCTTTCCACGGCCAAGATGTTGTAGCCGTTGGTGAGCTTCATAAAACACCTCCTCCAAGCCTTCGCAGACATTGTCCATGGCCTCCTGCTCGTCCATGACCACAGGAAGCTCTTGGTGGAAGATCAACTGGGCCTCACTGCCATCATCGTTGAGGCAAATGAGGTCTTCCAGGATGAAGTCGCCATCATCCAAGTCATTCTCAAAGACCTGGTCCTCGTCGATCTCATGCTCATAGCCATCCTCATCGAAGTAGGTGGCGCTCCTCCATCGACGATGTGGTCCAGGCGTCTCATGGGCCTGCCTGTTCATCAAGCTTGTCGCCGAACACCTTCTGGATGGCGCTTTCCAGGTCTCTGAAGTCGATGGATCCGTTCGTGACCACCTTCAGCCTTTGTTTCTGGTCTTGGCTGAATCCACCTTGGCGCAAGATGAGGTGGCCAAGCAAATGGCGACCTGCTGCTGTTGCAAGGAGGTCCAAACCTTGCTTTCTCAATTCGGCGAATGCCGCGTTCTTGTTCGTGAGGAACATGGTGAGGCTCATCCCACGATCACGTCGACCCTTGAAGATGGCATCTTCAAAGGCCTGTTCCAGGCGGTGGTCTTTCAAATACTCGTGAGCACTCTCGATGATGCTCACGATCTGCTTGTGGCCAGTGTCGGAGGTGATCTTGTCGACGGTCAAGTGGGCTAGCAAAGCGCTGAGGCGTGAGCCAAGAGGAATGCTATCGATGATGCGCTTTCCAATGAGCCCAGGAGGAAGTCGGGCTTCAGCCTCCACCAACCACAATTGCAGGTTCCGTTGCAACTCTTTGTAGTTCCGCTCGGGGTCATCACCACCCCAAACTGGAGCCGGATCGATCTTGTAGTCGACATACTTCTTCTCTTGATTGGGCGAGGCTGCATCAGCCTTCGGTGTCATTCCACCAACGGCCCGGGTCGGTGACCTGGGATGTTCCGCTGGTGCGGAAGCAGCCGCTGCCCAAGGATCTGGTAAATGAGGGGGTTCATGATCGCCGGATCCAGGGGGTTCCTGATCGCCGTCTTCAGGTAGTCCGAAAAGTCGTGAACCACCTGGAGGTTGAGGCGCCGTCGGAGATCTCCGGGGAGACGCTGTGGGAGGTGTCGGCGATGGAGTACCTCCCAAGCCAGTTGAAGTGGCACCAACTCCACCTCTCCAAAACTCTCGAAGAGGTCGGCTCATCTTCACCTGAGGGTCAGGTTACGCTCGTCCTCAAGGACAAGGGGAAGTCCAAGCAGTAGTTGCTCGGGTAATCGAAAACCGCTAGGATGTAGCTCGGGCGAAGCAAAGGTTGGGCTCCCAAAGGATCCTCCGGACGTCAGTCCGTATCAGGGCGAAGAACACGAGGAGGTCGAAGACGAAAAACTGTCCTTGGTGGCGGGGCGTCCCCCGCCTCAAGTCCAGCACGTCCGGAGCCACGGTCGTCACCGCGGCTCCGCTACCATGAAATGCCGCAACGCCAAGCTACCTTTTCCTCAAAAGGACAGGCTCAAGGGCCCTCGGGGTGATCGGGCCGAGACACCGGCACAGCAGGTTCAGGTCCAAACATGAGTCCAGTCCATGTTGTTTGACACTAAAGAAACGTTTACCTAAAAAAACGGTGCGCTGGACCGTCTGGACGATCTCTGCCCATTGACGCTCAGTGGCCAAGGAAGACGTTTGATATAGAAACCCACACTCCCACATCCACTGCTGGAAGAGCTCTGCTTCACTCTTCTCGCAAAGAGGTCCAAGACCAAAGGTAAACCTTGGATCTGAAAGGCCGTTTGTTCAAAAGCACGAGCATTCTGATGATACGATGAGACTATATAGTTTCACAGTGTGTCATTCCTGATTATCTTCTCGCAAACGAGCAATGAAGTGCCAAACTTGAAACTGATTCAAGTGCTCGACTTTCACTTTGTTCGCTCCGCAGGCTCCGCAGGCCCCGCAGGCTCCAGATGATAAAGAGTGGAGGCATCTAGAAGACAGGAGGGGACCTTCTTTTCGTTACAGCTTTGCCGAATCAACAATAAATGGAGCCCAGGTACATCTCTTGCAGTACCAGAATGTCTGCAGGTGCTTCTTGAATGAACTCCTTGAAGGCTTGCATCCTTTCCAGTCTTTGAGGACCACCAGCATAAAAGGAATTCCACATGTTCCTTAGCGCAAAGGCCGATGTCCTTGTCATTCAAAAGAACTTGGTAGAAGGCCGAAATCCAACTTGTGTCACTAAGGCCTGGTGGTTGGACTTTTCGAGCTAACTGTCTCTGCACCAGTTCCGAATACCCAAGGATAACACTTCCACAAAGTCCACTACAGGCTCCCTTTACAGACACCTGAACAGTGCAGCGCCGCCTACGCTCATACTTGGCACCACTTGCATTCAAAGTCACAAAAGTCTCAACGTAAAGATTATTTGCTAAGGCAATTTGTATAATTTTCACTCGACTTTGGAATCAATGTGGATCCATACTCCATGCACATCACTCATGACGAAGTTCTAATTGAGAGGACCTACACCTCCTGAACGCATCTTTCAATATCTTTATGCTTGTTTAAGTTTAGCTACATACTATGCCTCAACGGGTGCTTATCCGCCTTCCCTCTATATATCTAAATGTGTCCACTTGCCCAAAAGACGTCTTTTGACAGGGCACTATTAACTTTCTAGAAGCGCATTCCTACATCAATGTAAATGCAAGCTACTTGAGTTGAGTGGGCACATCCTCAAAGGTGTCCACTTCACTTCCAACAAATGCACCCTTCCCTTCCTGTCTATAAGTTCTAGTTCAGCGACACTTAGACTTTTTCAATCTTTGTCATACGTCAAATAAACAACCGTTTGTCTTCATGGCGCCATTTATACTGTATCTGTTTGTTATTCAAGTAATGATTCGGCATTCAGTGTCGGTCCCTATGGCTGCTCCATTATTGCAGTACGATCAAGTGTTGGCCATTTACAACCCAAAAAAATGTGGCTGTGCGTGCTTCATCATAGGCAGCATCATTCAAGCTTCTGTGAGAGGATGGCTATCTGACGTTGATGAGTAGCAGCCAATTGCTCAGCTGACTCGTGATGGCGCTGTGGCGCTGGCCATCCCTCACGTCGTGAAAGGCGGAAATTCCCAGGGCCAAATGCAACAATGCCAGTCACAAGTAATGCGCCGGATGCAATGTGCCTTTGCTTTACTGTCTTGGACCACATCCTTACAGGCTGCGGGTTGCTGATGCACATGTCAACCAGGGTGTCTGGGAGGTGTGTAGCTCCTCGACTTAGTTTGCACATGTTCGCACCAAAGAAACGATTCTGTCACAAACACGTCGTTAGCTGTCCAAACCCTGTCCCCTCCCTCTTCCACTACGTCACTGCGTCACATGCTACCTTGAATTGGTAACAAATAATTTCAATCTCTCCATATTGAAAAATGGAAAGCCTGTCCATTCATGATAGCGAATCAGGCAAGAAGCTACATAAACCTCAACAGTTTGAGATTTCCTTACTCCCCTTGGCAATGCAAGTACCTTTTCATGGACCGTGAAATCGACAAAAACCACAAGCACTGCTGTTGACGACAACAATGTGCACTCTCTGACCGGAATCACCTCTGGCAATGAGACAAAAGTCCAGTACCCGTGGAATAAAGTAGTTCATGTCCTGCGCTTTGGACTCCCCCGCACCTGAACTCTGGCCCCGGCCACTCCTCCAAAACATTTGGTCTTTCCAGAATGCACCGAAAGTTGAAGCTACTAGTAAGACTAAAGAGACTGAAATTAATGTTGGAGCACCATGTATTGACATGCCTATTGCCTATTGCTGTCAGCACAGGTCAGCACTGCTTGTTCTGAAGGATGAACATTCCGAACAGCTGGGAGCCTATATAATCATACACCACACAGTAAGCGCCTCTTTCACTCTTCCACAACAGCAGCTTTGCCCCATGGCTGCTGCTTTGCCCCGTGTGGCACGTACAATTTGAGCTGCAACAGCTGGGCATGGATAGAAGGCTTGAACCGATTCGTCTATTCGTCAAGCATAACAGCAATGTGTCAAGCGTTAAGACCGTGAAGGACGCAAAACGCTACGCTCATATATGCTCTTGCAGTGCTTGCAATTACCATCAAACAGCATCCTCCTCTCAAGACTCAAAGCTCTCGTGTCACCAAACTGCTTCGCAGGACTTAATTCTTTCAAAAACGTGTGTGTCTGTCTTGATTCCTGGATCTGTATTTGGATGAATTTGGGCACATTTGGGCATGTTGCAGCATGTTTCTAAAATAGCCGAGTTGGCATCTCAAGAATCACCTTGCTCCCAAAATCTCTTCATGTTTTGATCGCAAACCAAGTCGGATTGAAACTTTGAAACTCTTCGTGCCTTTCGCACGCAATCAAGTGGAAGCATTGGGAGCTACACGAGCTCTACTGCCTTGAAACCTCCTTCTCACCAAGGCTCTGTTGATTTCCCACTTGGATCCCACCAAGCCTCCTTGATTGAGCCCGGTTCAGCTAAATTTAGAGTGTCTACTCAGAAATGAGGCGTGCTTACGCCATGCCGAACATCTTTGTTTTGTGTTTCCACGTTTTTCCTATATTGGCCAGGAAATGCCAAAAAGCTTGGAAGATGGCATCCCTGGGAAATCTTCTCTGTGGCAAGTGTGGTAGTAGTTACACCCAAGAACCAAGTGCACATTGGGCACTGGGTCCTTTAACCTTTCAGCTTGGCTTCGTCAAAGATCTTGAAACACAAATGAGTTCTAGTCGATATCAGAACCGCCTCAGCTGGCGCACTGGCGCAACATGAGCTTTTCGGCTTTTCGAATCATCCGAATAAGTGAAGCTTGAGGATGGTCCATTCGGGTCTTTACCCAGCGCAGCTGAGCTACCATCATGATGCAACGGCGGTGCCATCTGCTGCGATGATGATGTGGTGGATGTCGAAACTTGTCTGTGAGACTCCTGCCCAAGAATCAGAACCCGCAGTCGTCCGCCAAATCACAGACCCAGCCTGGCAACGTCGCACTTTTCCATGACCTGCACACAGAGGGCCCAGGGCAGCTTGCCAAGTTCTGTCACTCTATGGCTCCCAACAGTCCTCACTTGAGCGTGGACCAAAAGCTGATTAAATTCCTGGTCTTAAGGGTCTGCTTACGCTATTGCTTACTCTGCGCTTACGCGTGCTTTAGAAGAGCTGTTGCTTCGCTTACGCTCAAATTGTTGCTTGAATTTGCATTTCCGCACAGCTGCAGCTTACCCACCAACTTCTGAAAGGAATTTCAAGGAGAAGACTCAGATGATGAACTTGATGAACTTGATGGATAAATTTCATCGGAAGATCTTGGGAATTGGCATCTTGCTACCTTTATGTGTTTTCTGCACATGCTTTCGTATCAGATGAGATACATGACCCGCTGGTGGCCCAACTTATTCCGATGCTCGAAGATTTGGTTGGTTGGTTGGCAGCGTGGACTAGGATGCATGAGAGAAACTGTTGTTTACGCGCTGCTTGCGTGCAGCTTACGCACGGCTTACGCACCTGGGAAAAAAACACATGAGGTTTGAATGAGATGGAACAACAGCAAATAACATATACAGGAAACCTCCAACATTATCATGCTTATGTCTGCTTCCTCACACTGCAATGTCACCATAAGCTTACACACCCTTACACAACTCACAGTTTTATTTATATACGCACACTGCTCTCATGCGGAGACTAGTTTTAGACCATGCGGTACGCTAAACGTGGACTTAGACTGAGAACAAAATGAAATGCGAGTCATGAGTACACTGTTGGCCATGTCTCGACTGTGACCAAGCATAGAGAATCCTCCTATTAAGAATCAAATAGAATACGCTGCATGAGGCTGTTTTGCTGATCTTTCCAGTCACGCATCGCACCTCCATTGTTCAATAAAGCAAGTTGGCCCAGCCCAACACCGGCCAGAGTAGCCTTAGGTGTCCAAGTAGTCGGCATGGTTAGTGTATTCATGCTTCTCTCCGCATCTTGTCTATGATATCGCAATCACCAGCTGAGTCGTGTGTTTTAAACTTTGTTACCTATCTGGCCTCTACGTTGCTCAGGCAGCGGGGCGGTAAAGCCAGCCAGTTACCGCATTTTACCGCTACATGGCATCATAACACGAGAACTATAACCAACAAAAATATGCGCTGCTCATGCCTAAAGCACCCAAGATGGGAAAGAATATGGGTGTGTATGTTTTTACCTTAGTCGGGCCGGGAAGTTTGAATAGGTGGTATGATTCGAGGGTATGATTCGGGGTATGATTCGCGGGTATGATTCGAGGGTATGATTCGCAGATGATTCGCAGCTTTGAAGTTATATTGTTGGATTAGCTGGACTTCCAGCAGTGGGCCCACTCTGCGCCGAGGCAGTAGGCAAGCAGAATCTGTTGGATGCTGGGCAGACTAGGCAAATGCACTCTTCCACCAAAGACTCCAGTGGCCCTTGCAGGCCCCACCAAAACAACCAGGATGTGGGATGGGTGGGAGACTGTGTGGAGGTGCGTGATTCGGGTATGAATCGGGCATGAATCGGGTGTGATTCGTATGGCCATTAGATTCTGCAAAAGAGGGCGGTCCTTTGGCTCGTACCCCTGGGATGTGAGCCTTTGCTCTTCCCACGAGAAGACACAAACAATTTTGGCCAAATTGAGTGCCCATGGGTCACACAATTGCAAACGTCATGCACCATTGGCTCATGGACATCTACAAGGCACAAAGACCAACCAAAAACTTCACCTTAACACCTGGTTCTTACGTGTAACGTTTTGAGGGGTATGATTCGGGGGTATGATTCGAGGTATGATTCGAGGGTATGAATCGCTCAAGTCGAACTTCCAACCACTATATCAGGAAGTACACGCCAAAAAAAATACAAACCCATATGCAGCCACGGCACGTCCTCCTTGTTGCTTGCAGACCGGACAAAGCTCACAACGTGAGCTTGCTCTGTTAGTGGTGTGTTGCCCGGTTCCTCCTTGGTCAGCAAGACAAGCAAATGTTTTCTGTAGTTGCCGGCGAACTCAAACTGAAGGACAGTCGCTCAGCATCAGAAATCCCGGAGTGAAATTCATGCCAGGCAAGAAGGCGCTAAAATGGTGTTGGGACCTCTGGAAACCAAACTGGTGACCTCCTTAAAGGGGCCAAACATTCTGTCACTATAGTTATATATTCGATGTATTTGGTGGCTATAAGGCCTGCATCGCGCCTGTGGCTCTCCGGCGTTTTGAGAAGTCAGACGTTGAGCCATGCGAGGAGACTTTGGCAGATCTTCCTGAATCGCATCTGCAGCCATCTGCGCATTATTGGGCTGAGCCATGACGCAAGCAGAAACCTTCACAATCTCAAGATATGCTAATTTAGCTAAAACAACTGAGGCTGCAAGAGCAGTGCAAAAAGTGCAGACCTCCACAAGACTGGCTTCAACTTCTGCCACTCCTTCAGGTTCTAGAGTCGCCTATGACAAAAGCCAGCACGGTCACAGTCTGCCAATTTGGATTTCCCCAAAGGAGTTCAAGGTGCAAAGCAACGATCAGCCTTGATGCTTTCAATTGAACATGTCATGAACCTAGGAAGAACAGTTAAGCTGCCATCGCTATTAGGAGGAGGCCATTGCTACTAGGTTGGAGGCCATCGCTATTAGGTTGGAGGCCATCGCTACTAGGTTAGAGGCCATCGCTAACAGGTAGAGGCCTTGGAGGCCATTGCTGCTAGGTTGGAAGCCATCGCTAATAGGTGGAGATCATTGCTACTAGGTTGGAGGCCATCGCTATTAGGTTGGAGGCCATGGCCACTAGGTTGGAGGCCATTGCTACTAGGTTGGAGGCCATCGCTATTGGGTTGGAGGCAATTGCTACTAGGTGAAAGCCATCGCTACTAGGTGGAGGCCACCGCTATTATACTAGGTTGGAGGCCATCGCTATTAGGGTGGAGGCCATTGCTACTATAGGTTGGAGGCCATCGCTATTAGGTTGGAGGCCATCGTTACTAGGTTGGAGGCCATTGCTACTGGATTGGAGGCCATCGCTACCAGGGGAGGCCATCGCTATTAGGTTGGAGGCCACTGCTACTAGGTGGAGGCCTGAGAGGCCATTGCTACTAGGTTGGAAGCCATCGCTGATAGGTGGAGGCCAGCGGTAGTAGGTTGGAGGCCATCGCTATAGGTTGGAGGCCAGCGGTAGTAGGTTGGAGGCCATCGCTATATATGAGAAGGACGCCTGAAGAGCCACATTTCACTAGAATCTGCAGGTAGGAGAGTATCACTCCCG